GTAAAATGTGGATCAATCATAGCTCCGCGTTGCTTTCAAGCTAGCAGCTTGCATAAACGGTAGGAACGTGGGCCGAGATTGAATCACGCTCGGAAGACGAAGACTAGTTAATCGAAATTCCCTTCAGACATGTGCATGTTTATGTGCAAAAGACGGATGCACCACAGTGACAAACAATGAGAGACTTTACAACAAAGCCTCAGAAGTGAAGTCAACGCAAGGGTCAGGTACGAAAGAAAGACACTGTTCTAAATGCTATCATTTGACGTCTGTGCATACCAGAACCACTAGTCTCGATGATAGGGCTGAATCTAGGAGTAACTAATGCAATGTAGTTAATATGTCACATAGGTTGTTGAATGAGAGAGCGCATATTACAGGAAAATGGCTTGAAGATTTCTGTAAATAAGTCTAAACTAACTGCAGTAGAAGTTATTCCTAGTGTTGAGACTACGGTGACGAAATGATCACCAGTTTCAACAGCTGAGAATATTTGTGCACAAGTGGTAGAAGACATCATCAGATTTCAGAAGCCTGGGGAGTCAAAGCTTACAACCGTAGAGCGCGTACCGTAATGAAAGGCTCAAGACCTTACTAACATCATCAAGAAAGCCGATAAACACAAGACCGTAGTGATAATGAACAAATCGAATTATGTGGAGCAGCATTTAGCACCAGGTCCCTACGAAGCCATTGAGGAAAAATCCGTATTGTTCACAATGAATAAGAGTAAAATAGAGGTAGGAAACTATCTTAGGAATGTGAAGGACAACCTAGGGTCGAGTAAATGGCATAACGTGTATCCAAAATGAACTATTCCGCCTAGGATCTATGGGCTGTCGAAAATACATAAGGCCGAGCTTCCCGTTCGGCCCAATGTAGATGGTGTCGGTTCTCCGACGAACGAACTAGTCTGATATTTGGCAGGTTGGTTGCAACCTCTAACATGGAGAACAAATACGTTCGTACGGAACTCTTATGAGTTCGCCCGAAAGGTAGCAGGTCTGGCCATCGCGTCAGACGAAATAATGGTTAGTTTCGACGTTAGCTCCCTATTCACTAACCTGCTCATAGATGACGCATAGTGGGTAGCATAGCGCTGTCTGACTGAAGACAATAGCCTGTGGTAGCGAACGAAACTCACGGTAGAACGGATAATCGAAGGAATAGAAGCATGCCTTAGTATGTCATATTCCACGTTCCAGTCGGAAATGTACGCTCAGGAGCAGGGACGAGGATATCGAAAAAGTTGTTGTACGGACGAATTAGTGCAGGCATATGGCAAGCTGGCAAATCGAAATTACGTTACCAAGACATGAACAAGGTGAGTTTATCACGTACTAATGCTGATTTCAGGTGCTGGGAATAAAATGCAGTTGATCGGCACGATTGGCTTGAGCTGATCAGGTAGGCGGTTGGGTAGGTGCAGGAGAAGGCACTTATGCACGTAGAAGAGAAACGCCGGGTACGGAAGCGACAGGCGCCGATAGAGTCTAGGTCATCGACGTCGAGTGCATACTTCTGTAGCACATGCGATCGCGAGTGCCTGAGCCAAGCGGGTTTGGTAAGCCAGCGGCGCGGCCACGTGGTGCCGGCATTCAAGAGAAGACGGGCCAACTGCTTAACAAAGCATAATTAATGGAGCGATCGGAAGGTGCGCTGAGTCCAATTCCATTCGATTTAGTAACCCAGGTCAATAAGGAGGCTGATGTAGTACGTGTGCCTGCGTATTGAGTTTTTTGCATTTCAGGGACGGGTTGTTGTTTGATATCCCCAGTGTGGCTGCGCTTGATGTGAATGATGACAAAGTGCCTACTTGTCTATTAGCCACCAGTTCGTCTACACTGGCAGTAGGAGACAATTGGTTGTTGCAGGAATGGGCAGGGTGCACGGTCTTCGTGGCCATGCTAAGCCTAAAGAGTGATTCCATGCATCCAGTGCGGAACGAGCTACGTCCCAGCCACCGCCTGGTGTACGTCTGGTAGGCACAATTTTCCAAATAGACATGAATGATTTTGATCTGCATGTTGAATGAGTGTGGGCCGGCTCCGTTGATGAAACATGGCTCTCATCCACATGCCTCCCGGTCTTATTCCTTCGGGTTTACACTGGATATGCGGTGTGTGGATGGAGCTGTGGGTGATGCAGCGCAAGCCACTCATAATCCCTCTGTAGGCGACAGCGTCCTGTGGAGGACGCAGTGACAGGCAACTCCGGAACCAGATACCGCCAACCAGTTGTAACTCAGCAGACGATATATCAATGAAGGAAATACTATCCGGGTCAACAAGTTTGTTTAGTTCTACATTTGGAGTTGAATGCGTGACCTCGAGAGTGACACCGCTTAACTGCCTCAGCATTTTCTATATTTCTCGATTATTATTGTTTTCAAATATAGTTTGAAGGCAGATATAGTCGAGGCGACGCAGTTCCATTTTTATATCAACAGATAGAGACTTTACCGATGAAATATCTTTCCGAATAAAAGCCTTTTTCTTAAGTCTACGCAGTAATTGAGACGCTGAGACAAAAACCTATGGGTACTGGTAAAAGTTGGTTCAATTGGACAGCAGGTGTCGAGGCAGAAGTTTAAGTAACTAGTTAATAGTCACAATAGTTCGATAGGTTCGCAACGTAAAATAAGCTAAAATCTGTGGACGCAATGGTTTCACGCATTGTCTACGCCTGAACTTTCGATCATTCTTATGGTTCAGCTTACCATAGATAACAGATAACTTTACGATGGCATGATTACAAATTCCAAGAGGCGGCCGACTACAATCTGAACACTTTTAGGTTGTTAACAAGTACCATGTCAATGAATGCACGTAATCTGGTTGGAGATTGTACGATGTCCTTTAGATTAAGATTAACATTGGATCTGTTAAAATCGTCGGCAACTATGCACAAGAATTCTAGGTAATCGAGGGCCGCAGTTGTAAATCCGTCGTAAAATGTTGCGATTTCGGAGCTGGGACAGCTAGGAGAAATATATGTTTGTCAATAAAATCAAAACGATAACCGATTAGGAGTATTGATTTGCAGTTACCGATTAAACAGGTGGTACGCCGTGAGTTGTAGTGAAAAATGCATTTAATCTACGAGCATCATGAATAATTATTGTGAATAATGACGCTACCACCACAGTTCCTCTTTGTTCATTGGCTGTGAACGCGATAAGAGATAAATCCGTCGTGTTCCACGGCTGCATCTCCAAAATCGACGGAAAGCCAGGTTTCCTGCAGCATATTGATGCCCACGCGAGAATATTCAAGACCTTCTAGTATACTTTTGTGATCCACTAATTTTCCAAGTAGCGATCGGATATTGGCACTGAGTAAAATAGGTAGGCTCATATTACCGAGATTTTTCTTTCGAAATGCAACCTGCCACTCAGTAGGATTATTGTAAAATTCCCTTGCTTCTTTACATTTTGTTTCGAATAGATTGAGTAGGGATATTACGAATTCATACGAGTGAAGACAGCAGCAATCTGAAAGTATTGCGAGTATGAACGATGATGTTGTAGTCGCGCGCAAAATAACGATCAGGCGGAAGACTGGAAAGCCATTAGAACGAGAGAGGAACGAAACTGGCGAAGACATCATGAACGAGATCACACGGCGCAATGCAAAGCCAACAATACGGACGGAGAGCAAATGTTGAGCAACGAACAGAAACGGGCTTTAGCCAAGAAGAAAGGAAAGGAGATGTGTTGAAAGGTAGAGTAATCAGACAGAAACGCCTTTGTCTGTGTATCCAGGAATAACCGCAGGCCGAATAACGCAACCGAGATCAAGAGCCTTAGAACAACTCCAAGCTGATCAGAATGCGAGCTATGGAAGCAAAGATACGGGGTCAGATAGACAGTCAAGGCCTCGACGTTGCAAACAAACGACGCACGAATGTGATATGTTGTGATTCCCGATTAATTTTGCGTTGTGGGACAGAAGCATAGTCAATAGATGCGCGCGTGCGTGCTGCATGTTGAAGAGTGGTCGTGTGTAATGAAGATTGTGCTTTCTTGCCGATTCATTCTTGATACATTGGTGCCGTGATCATTCAGGAAGGCGTTGACCTGGCCAACGCAGTTTGCTGACGGAGATGTGGAAGCTTGGCTTGAGTAAGTTAAAACTATTGTAGCATGCAATGGAGTCGAAGGCGATGCCAGCTTACAAACGGCCTTGAGCACGCATTCACACACAAGAAGTAACATGACATAATCATCAACACATGTCAGTTGAGAGTGAGGAACACATCCCAACTACTGTGCCGCAATACAAAAATGATGGGATCTTAGCCGTTACAAACTAAAAAGGCGATATAAGGCTAAATATCATATTATGCATAGGGTATCAGGTCGTGGAAGCTAAAGAGGAGGGGAGGGACACAGAAACTCACAATACAAATGTTAATGGACTTGGATCTTCGGCACGTCAAGCAACGTATCGAACGAAACGTGGACATCGTCCTTCGGTCCCCAGCAAGGAACTCGTCGGAAAACTAAGTCGGGTTAGTGCCAATCGCTCTCTCGGATAGAGACCAGGCGATTCACGGCATCAAATGTGAAATATCTCATTGGGTGTGGCAGAATCACGAAGTCTGTAGTACTAGTGCATGCGTTCACTGCCTTCACTGCATTTTGCCTCATGAAACCACTCAATTTGGAGAGTTTATGGGTCATGGTTAACCTATTCACCGCAGTTCGGCGCATGGCATCACGATTGATATGCTGAGCTAAAAACTAACACTGCGAGGAGTGGCAACTGCACTATAGATCATAAGCTAAGCAAGACCGAACTGACTCATACTCGCAGGAGAAATATGCAATCCTAGTCCGCAGAGGCTTGGCAAACAGACGCTAACCGACTATCTGAACTGCGTTAAAGTGATTCTACTGAAATCATTGGAGACAGAAGTGCGGATGCTCAGTGACAGTACTACAAATCAGACTTGCACAAAATCACCTAGGGAAGCAGATATAGGAAGAAGTGAATTACCTGCACGTTAACGTGTGTCACTCCGTATACAGCCAAAAAGAGCAGATGAAACACATAAGGTACCAACCGACGAGTGTGCGCGGATTCAGCGCGCAGTCCCAGTGTTTTGTATGCGTTTGGTGCGCAAGAATAAAAGGATGATGCGCATGACAAAGCGAGAACAATCACCGGGAGCGCTAGTAGAAAGTTTGGCCATTGTTTCCACTCGTAGTAAGCCAAGAATCCAACGTTCCAAAACACTTTTTGAATGTGAAGGTAGGAAAAGGGTGGATCATTGAAACACCAATCAGGCGACGAGGGCACTGTGAGGTTGAGGTAGCGCACAGTGATCCACAGAGGAAATCGGTATGATGAGCGCAACCCATGGTGTAGGATGGCGTCCGTAGGCTCAGGCATCAGTAGTTGCCATGATGGTGCTTCAACAGATGCTTCGCGACAATACACGTGATACGCATAAGCTTGGAAGAATAGAAGCGGTGCAACGCCAAATGCACAAAGAAAGATGTAGGGGAAGGGAGTGAAAAGTAAGCTGTACCACCACCGTAGGGAACGGCTGAGTAAATTCAACAGGGATTTCCTTGTGCTTTGGATGGTTTCTTCACTCCATATTAGGTTAGAAAGGAAGGTTGCACACCATGCAGCGTAACCAATATAGCCAAGATTGATGAGACCATTGCTGCGGCATACGGTGGTCAGTGCGAACAAGAAGGTGGCTCGAAAAAGCTGTCTCTGTTCATAAGCTTGCAAGGCCAGTAAAGTGAGGAGAAAAAAGAGAGACTCCGAATAAACACAGGAGAAAAAGACTAACGCAGGATTAATACAAAAAAGTATAGCGGAAAAGTAGCTAACACTGGGGGATCCGATCACCCGTAAGCTTAATCGATACAACTGGATGATGATCAAAGCGCCACACAGTTGATTAACTGTGACCCCCAACAGTAAGATTGTAGTGTCTAGACTCAGAGCGTTGTGGAGCACTGTGTGAACCGGGCGGGACAAAAGAGAGAGCACAGCAGGCAGAAGAGGAAAGAAAGCCAAGGTCTGTTCGTACACATAACCCCACCGAGCAATGAAGCAAAAGTAGACAGAGTCCCACTTCTTGTAGCCGCGTAGAGTGAAGGAAATGAGGGAATCTAAGAGCCCAACAGATGGCAAACTTGGAGGACGAAAAGCGTCAGCATCGTGATCCGGTAATAGACTGAGAAATACCTGAAAAAATAATATAGATAAATCGGAGGAAGCGAAAGCTCACCTGAAGAATCAACACAAGCAGGCGAGTGAGAACATAACAGCGCAGCAAAGAACGCTCCGATGTCACAAAGTTATCCGGATTCTTTGATTCGATTCCCATTTAAGTGTGTGTGTGGGGGCAATCGAGTGGTTCATGACGAGGAAATACAATGGAAGAGATTATTGCGAATCCCCCGAGGGTGGGATTGAGCAAAGCAGCTGGAAGTGGCGCCTAGAACGAAAAACCGGAACGAGTGAAGAACACTTTGCATCCTGGGAGGATAGTGAGAGCAAGCAAAATGAGTGACGGGGACAGTACACTAATGCGTTTATCTGTTGACTGAGTGTGGAGGCTTACAAACGCTTCGTTAAACAGCGAAGAGGCCTCAACAGAGCGCGTTGGACGCTTGTGATTACGAGGTCAGGTAACAGAATATTTTCGAATAAGCTGGAGGCAAAATGTTATGAGGATTGTCTCCAAACGAATTCACTCCCTTCATTGACATACATGTTCATTAACTGCAACTATCTTTTCCTCCATTTCAGCTCGTCGCCAATCTTATCATGGACTGCGAGGCTTTCCTTTCCACCGTACTACGCCCCATCTCTCAGGACTGCTTGTTTGTCTTCTCACCTACTGTGTGTTAACATTGTGGTCGTTTGACAGGCAAGAAGAATATAACACTGGTGAGAGAGTTCAGAGATGGATCCAATCATATCAGTTTCACAAAGATTTGAAAGCAATCCTCCAGTAACAACAAGCGCAGCTCGAGTGCTATAAATTGCGACTCATTCAAACCGCTGTTCAGTTCTTCCCTCTTCAACCAACATTCCCACCAATACGTAACAGTTCGGTGTCCTCTTCCGATGGCATTGCAGCTACTATCTAGGTTTGACTAAGAGCCTATACGCAGGTCTTAAATATGCTTCGTCGTAAAAGTCTGGTTACCAAAGCGTGATGCAGAAGATTACGTCCCTTATGCAGGCATCGTGAACGGTGTGAAAAATGCCAATTCCGGACACTCACAGAGTACCAGTACAAGTGTATGATTTTGTTCCCGATCTTCATTCTCCTCAAGAGTGGGACACCCGCCCTCGACTGCTTTCCAAACTTGAACATCAACCAGATATCACAGAGAAACCTCACCGCCGAGTGTCCACATCTGGTCAGTCGTAAGAACGATACCGATATGGCGCAAGAATCACAAGTACCAACTTCAAGCAGCGTCCATGAATTGACAGGAGCAACCGCGAAGCCCAACAAAGTGCTATCAACTTCTTGTTGGTCATGTGGTAAATGGCACTACACTCGCTTTTGTGCTTTGATGAAGCATCCGTATCAGCAATGTCAATGATGAGTCCACAAAGAACGCTTCCGTCGTCCCATAAATGTCAAGTAACAAACCACGTAAGTGTACACAGTTCAACTGGAAATATTCAAAAGGCAACCATACAGAAAAAACCCCAGCCTAATTCTGTTTTTGCAACCAAAGTCTAGTAGGAATCCAGAAGAAAGTACCTATCGTGATTTCAGAAGATTTTAAATACAAATCGGTTTTGCTAGGGTTTTATTGTGGCAACGTTTCGCCCTTGACACAAGAGCTTCTTCAGGCCAGGTGAATCGGTACAAAATTGGCTTAGCTTTCTTATGGGAAGGTTGCAGAACATAACAGGAAACATTGGATAATAGTGTTACAGGTCAATAGGTCAAGTGGCCATGCTAGTGAAACAACAAACATCGAGCGTTCACATGTGAGGCATTCCTTTCTTGCAGCTGCTGATTCACGTCCCGACCTGAGTTCGTCCGCCGACACCTTTTCTGACTGTCCGGGTTAACACAGCCCGCCACGCGTTCGATAACTCCACCCCATCTGTTCTGTTCACACAGTTATTAGTCTTAGTAGTCGCGATCGCCTCAGCAATCAACCTTTGGTTTGTTGCTGGTAATCCCCACCTAAGTATCTCAACCTTGTCACAACCAATCGCGTCCTGCCTCTAGCGCATGTACGGCCACCGCTGAATCTTTTAGTAGGGTCCTATATTCAGGCTCATTTCTCGGTGGACGCGAAACGTACCTGACAGCTGGGCGAGAAAGCGGAGTGCCAACGTTCGCGCGTTTGTCACCAACCGTGCTTTGGACAGACCCTGGGAGCGTGTTACCATGGCCCAGCCGAAAGGTGATAATGATCCGACAGCAGACATGTCGCCGAGGCATGAGAGAATGCTGATGAAATCGCACGTCAGACAGCACGTGCGTTGCCAGGCGCAGGATAGGCGGACAAAGACTGGAGTGCCCGAGCAACAGGGTGAACCGGACGGATGGAGCGGACAAGTAGGTGTGAACCCTGGGCTTAGAGTCAAATCCGCCTGGTGACACCGACATATAAATATGAGCGTTCTCTACCCCAATGGAACTCTGGTCTGCTAAGTCTTCTTCTGTCTTCCTTCCGGTCGGATTTGCCAAGGCGTCAAACGGAGCACGCGTAAGGGCACAGATTTGGCAGCAGACGTGAATCAACCAGGCGATTGCATGCACAGCGTTATAACAGTGGCGACGGAGTACAATCGAACCCAGAATGGCAGTCAGCTTTGAACAATTGCAAGCGCTTTGCAGAAGCAGCAGTCGCGGTTCGAAAAGTAACAGAGGCAGTTGATGGAAGGGCTGTCACAAAATTAAAAATGCAAGTAGTATGGGAACTGGAAGTGAAGCTGACATCGCAAGAAATTGTTTCAGAATGTCAGAAGTTGCTCAAATTGACTCCTGCTGCAAATATGGTCGCAAATTCAGAAGCTATGGAGGAGCAAAACTTCTGCCACACTGCCACTTCAGAATCAGATGTGCCCAACAGACTTAAGGATGCGACGATAGAGATCAATGGCAAGCAGATTACACAGATGAATAGACGCCACGAAGCAATGCTCCCACCTGGTCCAGAATGCTGCAGAATCGCCAGTGCTGCACCGAACCTCAAGCCAGTCACTAAACCAGTATCCAGAGCAAAACGCCTTGTGCCAATCAGGAAAGAAAAGCATTGCAGTTGTCAAGCGGGGAAACGTCGGACAGACAGGGTGTGTCATTGCAGAATTCGTGACAGGGGTTACGCGCTAGAGTTCCGAGGACGGAAGAGGTGGTCAACAGGAAGGGTGATCCGAACAAATAGTGGAGTCAATTATCAATTAACGGTGGGAAACAAGAAATGCATCAAGCACGCAGACCAGCGGAGACCGAACCACGGAAAAACACAAGGGCCCGCAGACAACATATATCGAAGAAGGAGAAGAAAACCAAGGCAGCTGGTTGATGTCATAACAAAGAAAGCTGATTTGAAGCAAGTATGCATGATGGGTAAGCAGCTTCAATTCGGAGGAGGAGGTGTCACAGAGGCGGAACGTCTGCAAATCGATCCCCGGGCGAAAAGCTACGAACACAATCCGGTTCGAAGGGTGTGCAGGCTGACTCTATTCGGAAGGGGAGGTGACAGCTGGGCGAGAAAGCGGAGTGCCGACGTTCGCGCGTTTGTCACCAACCGTGCTTCGGAAAGACCCTACGAGCGTGTTCCCATGGCCCAGCCGAAAGGTGATAATGATCCGACAGCAGGCGTGTCGCCGAGGCCTGAGCGGATGCTGATGAAATCGCACGTCAGACAGCACGTGCGTTGCCAGGCGCAGGATAGGCGAACAAAGACTGGAGTGCCCGAGCAACACGGTGAACCGGACGGATGGAGCGGACAAGTAGGTGTGAACCGTGGGCTTAGAGCCAAATCCGCCTGGTGACACCGACATATAAATATGAGCGTTCTCTACCCTAATGGAACTCTGGTCTGCTGAGTCTTCTTCTGTCTTCGTTCCGGTCGGGTTTGCCAAGGCGTCAAACGGAGCACGCGTAAGGGCACAGATTTAGCAGCAGGCGTGAATCAACCAGGCGAGAGCGAGCAATCCCCACAGCGTTACAACAGTACCTCTTGTGTTCTGCTATCCTCGTGCGTAGCTCTCTCGCTGTTCGACCTATATACACGTGTTACCAGTCTTTGCAATTGATTTTATAAACACATTTTGTCGTCCTGTCTCTTGGAAGTGGATCCTTCAAACGCACAAGTGCTGAATAGACCGTTTGACCCTTTCGAAAAACCACTCTTATTTTCTCCCTGTTTAGTATTCGTCTGATTGCTTCTGGGATTCCCACCGTCCCAATCCACTCCGTTGTGCGTCGTGGAAGTGGATTTAGAGCTCTCTGCAATTGGCGTTTCACTAACCGCCTCGGATATCCACTGTCTACTTATTTGCTCACCGTCTCCTTACGAGCGGACTTCCTGTCCTCCTCCTCTGTACACAGAGTCTGGGCTCTGTGAAACAGAGAGGATGCGACAGCGGCATAGGCTTGTGTTGGATAACCCGAACTGTAATGAAGCACTCCGTCCGTATCTGTCGGCTTGCGATATATCGTCGTCTTTAGCCGTCCACCGTTCCTGTGAACTAGGCAATCGAGGAATGGCAGTGTGCTACTGCAAGATTTTAGTTTCATAGTAACGTTTATATTTCCATTAATGGAGTTCAGAAGATTTGGAAACGCTTCCTTCATATCTCGCTTTATAATCACAAATGTGTCATCCACATAGCGCCACCAAATCTTTGGCGAACTACCGGTTTGTCAGCGCCCTTCTCTCAAAGTCTTCCATATACAGATTTGCCAATACGTGGGATATTGGTGACCCTATGGCAAGTCCCTGTTCCTGAGAGTACAGTCTCGACTTGAAAGTGAAATATGACATTCAATATCTCTGAAATCATGAAATATGACATATTAAGGCATGCTTTAATTCCATCGATTAACTGGTCTACCGTGAGTTTCGTTCGCTGTTCCAGGCTATTGTCCTCCGTAAGACAACGCTGTGCTATACCCAATGCGTCATCCTTGGGCACGTTAGTGAATAGGGAGCTAACGTCGAAACTAACCGTTATTTCGGCTGGCGCGATGGTCAGACCTGCTACCTTTCGCGCGAACTCATAAGAGTTCCGTACGAACGTATTTGTTCTCCATGTTAGAGGTTGCAACCAACCTGCCAAATATCAGACTAGTTCGTTCGTCGGAGAACCGACACCATCTACATTGGGCCGAACGGG